TGCTCTTATTTGCAAAACTGGAGCAATATGTTTCTTGTTGCATGTCCCTGTTCCCAGGCTCACCGTGCTGTCACCTCCCTTTATCAGATTACAGCTGTTGGTGATCACTCCTAATTGTGTTTGTCAGTTCTGAGATGACTAAGATTAAAAGTGCCTTAACCTGCCAGATTAAATTAAGCTGCCTCTAAGTCTTCCTAGAAAGTACTGTACAAAGTCTTGGATTATTATTATTGTTTTGTAGTGGAGATTTAGCAATCTTCATTGCATCTTTGTGTGTTTTGTAGTTCAAATGTACCTATGTGCACATTCTGCTTTGAATAGTGATCTTAATACTTCTAAAAAGACAAACAAATAAGCAAACAAAAACCAGGGTCTTACAGACACTACATAGAGATCTTTATAAAGTGTATGAGTCTACCTGAGTGTGGAATGTCAAACTATGTATCTGCAGAAAATTGATTGGGATATCCAAACTGCTCAATTAAAAGCATTTGCCTAAAGTCAGGTGAAGTTCCACACACTTGTAACCACAGTGCTTAGGAGGTGGAGACAGGAAGAACAGAATTTTAAGGCTTTCCTTGACTACAAAGCAAGTTTTAGGCCAGCCATGGCTACATTTATGAGACCCTGTCTCAAAAATTCTAAGAAACCACAAAAACACTAGATAGTACTTCTCTTTTTAACTCACTGTTTTAGGATAAACATTGATGTGTTTTAGTCCTATGATGGTGTTAGTCGCCATAGCACTTACTGAGCATTTCAGGTTTGCCAGCATGGTAGACACCACTGACTCATCACCGCAACTTTATTGCCCTTTGTCGTGTTTCCTGATTTCTTGGTGCTCCTCAGCTTCCCCTCAGCTAATGAACTAGGTATGTTTGCAGGGCTCTGACAAAGCAGAAACTGCCTGTCGTGACCAGAGGCCACCAGCTAGTGGCTGACCAAGGCAAGCAGCTCTGACTCTTATTTCTCACGCTCACAGTGGTCAGATTTGGACATAAGAAGTGCTAGTAAGACCTTCATGGGATTTTTTGATGCTTTATATACATAACTAATATTCATTTTAAGAATATTTTGAAAATTACTTTTATTTTGTGTTCATTGGTGTTTTACCTACAGGTTTGTCTATGTGAGAGTATCAGTTCTTGCAGTTACAGACAATTGTGAGATACATGTGGGTGTTGGGATTTGGGTCCTGGGTCATGTGGAAGAGCAGTTAGTACCCTTAACCAATGAACAATCTCTATGGCATAAATAAGTAGTAAAAAGGTCAAGGATGTAGCTCAGTGATAGAATGCTTTCCTGAAGAATAGAACATAAGGTGCTGGGTTTGATCCCTACATCTGCCAACAAACAAATAAAACCAGTGTGAGAAACAAAGTGGTTTTCTGAAGTTCGAAATAAGAACACCTGCTTATATTGTCTGGGGATACATATGTAGTAAAATAATTGTGAGCTTCATTTGTAATTATAACTTAAAGCTACCCATGTCGGAAGGGCAATGAAATTGGATGGGCGTGCCTTCACAGAACACAGAACACAGTTGACAACATTCATGCTCTCATGGATGGTGGATGTGTAGAGTTCTATTATTGATTTGTTTTATTATTTATATGTATACTTTTCTGTTGGTAGTAAAAAGAATACATAAAGAATGCTTTAAAAGGTCTTAGGATAATTCTCATTCTTACCCCTTTGTATTGATATTTTTGGGTTACAAAAATATAAAAAAAATGAAGGATAAACATCTATAGGGATAAACATCTATAATCCACCAACCTCCTAATATAATGACTTGTTCTGTTTTTTAATTCCTATATGTTTAATGTCTCTTAATTATAACTACAATGTATGCAGCTATGTATCTTTATAATACATAGTGGACTGATGGTCTTATGTTGGTTTTATTGGCATGATAATAACTATGAGTGATTAGCAGCTTAATTTACTCTCCCTCCCTGGTATAGTGGTCTTTCAGTTTCTCTGCTGTGGAATGTCTAGAAGGTTCTTGCATTAGTTCAGGAAATAGTTTTCCAGGATTTAAGGCATTTGAGAGATGACAGTGATAAGCAAAAAGAGCCAAACTCTCTGTCTTTATGGAATTTAGAATCAAATGACTAACAGTTACTGTAATTTTCAATTTTAATTATACTGACCCTTGTTAAACTTTTGTATTTTTGTAGTTTATTCTACATTATTTTTATTTTGAGTGAATTACAGATTGACATCCTGTTGTAGGAAATAATGGAGATTCCCTATACCCCTCACCCATTACCCTCAGTGACAACCTCCTATATAACTATAATATAATCCTAAAATAAGGAATTAACATTGATTCAGTCCATCAAGATTATTCCAGTTTCATCAATTTTACTTATGAACAAAGTTTGCTACTTTGTTCTGAGTGACATTTTATTTATGGTTATATTTATGTACTTGCTGAATGACATCTGGGCTATTTCTAGTTCTTCCCTATAATAAGTAAAGCTGCTATGAACATTTCCTCAGTCTTTGTTTAGAGACTTGTATGTCTGAATAGACACATTTTTATTCCATTTTACTACATGTGTACCTTGTGAGCACTACCACAGTCAAGAACAGAACAGGGCCCCTCATGATACTCTTTATAGCCACAGCTTCCCTCTGTTCTATTTTGTCATTGGCAACCACAGATATGCCCTCTATGGTTTTGTCACTGCAAGGACGTAAGTGGAATCATGCTGGTTTTCACTCAGCATAGTTTTCTTGAGATGCATCCAAATCCTGTGCATCAGTAGTTTGCTACTTTGTTCTGAGTGACATTTTATTTATGGTTATATTTATGTACTTGCTGAATGACATCTGGGCTATTTCTTGTTCTTCCCTATAATAAGTAAAGCTGCTATGAACATTTCCTCAGTCTTTGTTTAGAGACTTGGAAAAGAAACTCTGTAAGACTGCACACCCCTGTCCTTGGACATTAGTATCTGTTTTGCTCTCAGTTTTGTGATCTTTCTGAAGTACAAAGTAAGTCCCTGAATGGTGTAGTTACTGGTTTTAATGTTCTATGCCTCATAATACATGCTTGTCTATATTGATAGAAACATCTTTTGTATTGCTCTTTTATTGTGGAGTTTAGGGATACCATTGACCAAAGGCCTGTGAATAGCAGGAATTAATTTCTTAGGTCTGGAAACTGTGAAGTCCAAGGTCCAGATGAAAGTAGATTGTCTATAGAGAGCCAACATTCTGCTCTCACACACTGTCCTTCTGAAGTAACCTGAAATACTGGGAGGGGTGAAGGGCCTCCTGGACCACTCTTTTATGACGTAAATTCAGTTCCTCTTGGAGATTAGGGTTTCAACATGTAAGCTTGGGAGCCATAACCATTCAATCCATGCATCTTTGAAATAGTGAAGCATATTCTGTTACATTTCTGATTTTGTTTTAGTTGTTTATTGAGGAATGGGACCTGTCAGAGGTTCCTATACAGAGAACATATTCCATAGATGTTCACTTAGTGAATGCCATTGATTTGTCAATTGGATGGATGGCATTTGGAAAGAACAGGATATACATAATGGGGATTGGCACACTTGGATTTTAAATAAGAAACTCAGATCTTACTACTTTCTCTTAAAGTTACTCAGATATCCAAAGCTTTGAAATCTTCTAGTCCAAAGGAAACCAAGTAGCATAGATAAACTGTTGGGCTTTTTGAATAGTGAAAGAGAATACTGGAGCTTGACACAAAGCAGACCCAGGACAGGATAAAAATACACAGATGCTAGCTGCACACTTAGAATATGACTCATTTCCTCCACCATCTCCACCACACACATATCCCGTGTGTTCCCCCACCACAGAGCCCATGTGTCTCTCTACATCACACACACACATACTCCATATTTCTCCCACCACCACACACACACCTCATGTCTACTCTGGTTCTATGTGTATTTTCTGAACTCTCAGAGAATAAAATAGAAAACTCAAAGGAAGATTGTATTTTGAGAGTTTTGTTTGTTTGCCTCTCCTGCTTTGCTTTTGTTTCTTTTTGAGACCAGGTCTCACTCTATAGCCTAGATTGGCCTGGCAGGTAGACATTAAACTCAAAGCAATCCTACCTTAGCTTCCCCAATTGGGGAACTAGAGGCAAAAGGTTGGGGTTCAAGGCAAAAGCCACCATGCTCCACTTATTTTCCTTTAAAATGAATGGCCCTGTCTTCACTTTTCAATGAACACATAGAGTCCTGCCCCAAGGACTGAACAGGTACTTCATGGCTAACCGTAGCCACAGACATGACTGGCTACTACTTGTCCAGACCAGGTAAACAATACACCCCTGATGGTTTGTCATCGTCATCCTCCCATTCTTCTTTTATCTTAGGAGAAAAGTCTAAAATCTCATCTGAAAACTGATATACTGTGATTCTTCTGGTTCCATTGAACTGTTCACCACCCCAGAACCCCCTCACTTAGGTCTCTTCCATGTCTTTCTGTAGCCTCATGTTCCTGCCTGCCTCTGTGCTGTGTGTGCTATTTCTGTCCTGTCTACCTTTTCTGATGCTGCTTAGCTCTCCTGCATTTGTCAAGTACTCCCCAGTAGACCTCAGGTACAGCTCCCCTCTGGAAATTTTCTGAGCCCTACCCATGTATCCTTATAATGCTTGTCCTTTTTCTTCTATGTCCTTACCCCATGTGTGATCATTTTTTAAACTTCCATTTGCTAGTATCAGCACCTGCCACTACAGACCCTTCTGAAGACAATGACCTACGTCTTATACATTGCCTCCATAGCACCTGGTACAACGTGTCCATATGTAGCTGTACCTTAATTATTTGTTGAAAAAAAAACAGAAAATAGCCATTGCCACCAAAATTCCTAAAGAGTATAATTAGGAATTATTTAAAACAGAATTAGTATCTATTTTAAGGTTTCCATATATTTCTATAAAATCCCTGAACTGCCTTAGAGGTTTACAAACTGTAATAATTCCTTTCTGTTTGTTTTCTTTCAGGTGGGGACCAGGGCCTACTGAATTCATACTTCAGTGACTGGTCAACGACAGATATCAGGAAACACCTGCCATTTGTGTATAACCTGAGCAGCATTTCAATATACTCCTACCTCCCGGCATTTAAAGTGTAAGTGCAGACAGCTTAACTGTTGTCAGTTATAGTGAGCGCAGGGGAGTGGACTTTTACTCTATGCTTTTGGGGAAAAATAATAAGTGGGTACTTTGAGGAAAGCTTGCTCTTGTAAGAAACATGGCTGCAATTTTGAGAGGCTTGATATTACCCACTGCTCTATAAGTGAAGCAGCCCAGAGACACTCTACCTTCTGGAACAGGGTTCCTCTCTGTTTTGGTTTGGAACGCAGAACATGGAGTCCATAGACAAGGCACAAACCCATCCTCTGCACCATACTAGCTGTTGAGCTGTGATCTTCCTTCCCCCTCCCCCTCTCCTCATCTTTCACAAAGAGGATGCTTATAGGTTTTTGTGTGGACTTACAAGAGGCAGCAGCTATTGTGGTTGAGACGGGGACTTTGCAACTGACTGCACTCAGATCACAACCCGAAGTCGCCACTTAACAGTTACTAATTCTAGACTGGAGCCTGACCTGGTCTGCTTCATTGTCTCTATGGAGTTATTGTGAGCATTGAGAGCTGTAACCATCAGGAATGTGCCTGCACTGAACACTAAGCAAAAGGTACTTTGTGCTACCCCATTGCAGTGTCTATCAAACTGTGAAGGCCTGAGACCTGTTCTTTAGCTTCTGACTCATCTGTGTTGAACTGAGAAGATGATTCAGACTTCTTGAGCAGGGGCCTAGCTGTGAGGGCAAAGATACCAGTGAGGCCCTTTTGGGAGTTGAGCTAGTCTTTCCCATGCCTGCATCGCAAAGGCATTCTTGAGTGAGCAGGACAAAGGGGGCTTTTAGCCCTCATATCTCTGTACATCTTGCAACACAGTAATGAACATGTTCGGACTTTTTGTGTCAGGAATGTTTCCTTTTTAGTGTTTTTTTGGGGGAAGACTTGGTGAGCATCTCCAGATAAGGATTGTAAGTATTTTGTGGTTTTCCCTCACTGTTTCCTTACATATCTCTGATAAGCAATCAATTCTTTCCTCCATCTACGATAAAGCAGGCAAACTCTTAAATATACCCCTATTCTGAGTAAAGCAAGTAGATCAGGATTTAACATCACCAAGACCATAAATGTTATTTTCACACCTTGGGCTTGTAAAACACAATCTGTGTTGTATGCCATTATGGATCTGGTTTATTTTAATCCTTAATCCTTATTGACTCATAACTACTTCTGATACTTAAGTAGTATGATATGATAGCTTGGCCTCCAAGAACTGAATTTGTCTATAGTAGAGCAGTTGCTATAATCCAACTGAATAAATGAGTATAATTAAACCATGTGAGAGTAAAGAATTTTTAATGGCATGATCAGTGCTCTGGGTTCTATAGTGAGCAGGTGTTTTGCAGTGAGCACCATGTGGAGGCATGAATCTGACATCGTCCATTTAGCTCCAGTTCCTGAACATGATGAACTTAGTGTTCTTGAAGCTTCTGGTTCCCTGAGGCTTAGTCTAATCTGCTTTCCATCTTACTTGCCAACGTCAGACAGATCCCACCTTTCTGGGACAGCTTTGTTTGCTGGAGCACTGCTTGTGTTTTTTACTACAGTAGCAGGAGATTAGCCTTGGTGCTGGGGAAGAAGAAGGACTATTTTTGCTAGAGTTTTGGTCCATATTGCCCAAGCACCCCACTGTTTCATGTGCTCTAAGTGAATTTCCCAAAGACAGCTAGAGATCTAAATGGTCATAATGTTCTCTTCCTGGTGCAGTGCATGATGTTGGCTCTGGCAAGATCCTTAGTTTTTTGCCATTTCTGTAGAAATCAGGATCAGTCATCCAATAGTCAGCTTGCAGGCTGACAGGAGTTTATGCTGCCCTAGGGTAGCTTGCCCTCAGTAGGGCCAGTTCTTCATTTCTGTGATATGACTGCTCAAAGTCAGACCTTATCTCCTCTGACTGATGCCTGCTTAGGAATGCTGAAACCATACTTGAGAGCTCATTTTCCTTTCCCTCTGCCTGAAAATGTTTTTGGTTTTCTTCCAGAGACTTAGCTTCATAGACATTTCCCTCTACTTCCTTAGATTGGGAAAGAGATGACAAGGTGTAGGTAGTTCCATTTCTTTTATGTTTTAAGTTACTGTATCAATGCCAAAATCATTTTTTTTAGACTGAATTAGCCTATCATAAAACCCTGGGCCACCATAGCTTTTTACAGAGAGACCTGTAAATTTGTAGCCCACATTGGGTTCAGAATGGCTGGTGCTCCCCCGAACTGAGTAGCTCTGGCCCATGCTGCCTCCCATGGGTGGCCATGGGTAATGGCAGGTAGAAAGAGACTGAAGAATGATTAAAAGCAGGGGCTTCACTAGAGAAAATGGAGACTTTATCTCAAAACTTCACATAACCATTTGCTAAGATGTCTCTAAAACCTCTGGTTGTGCTCAAATGTTGGGCACAAAAACCATTTGAAAGTAGGCATGTATACCTGTATACATACACATATGCACGATGGAAATATTTACATACACACACACATTTTTAAAATGTGTACTATTACATATAATTTCAATTCAGATGGCCTCATGGGAACGGACATATATTTGAGCCATGGAGTAGTACGTCTACTGCCTTTCTGCATATCATCTGGATAGGAAAAAAAAAAGGAAAAAGACTAAGGAGTTTTATCACCTTTTGTAACAGTATCTGAAAACCAAAAGTAGCATATTTCAGAAGATTCTCTTTAGCAAAAATGCTTTCTTTGTTATTTTAAAGTCAAGTTTTATTGTATGCATTAGGAAACAATTTGTAAATGTGTTTCTGGACAAAATGTTGTGTTTAGCATAATGTTTAAGGTAGAGTTGGCTTTTTTTTTTTTCCTCTGAGACAAAGCCTCTCTGTAGTTTTGGAGCCTGTCCTGGAACTAGCTCTTGTAGACCAGGCTGGCCTCGAACCAACAGAGATCCGCCTTCCTCTGCCTCCTGAGTGCTGGGATTAAAGGTGTGTGCCTCCACCGCCCAGCTTAGAGTTGGCTTTTAATTATACCTTTTAGATATATATAACACATATACATAGATGTATTTACACATATAAATGTGTAAATACATATATATTAAAACATATATATTTATATGTATGTGTATACATACACACACACACACACACATATATAAAATTTGAGTTCCACAGTGCATATGTGCATATGTGATATGTGTGTGTCCATGGGTTTAAAACTTGTTTTCTCTAATTAGAAAGCCTCTTTTATTCATATGGTAGAGACTTTGATTTGCGCATTGTACTAGGAAAAATACCATTAATCTTTTGAAAGTCAATGTGTTGCTGCCAGTTTAAACTTCTTTTTAATCCACTGACTGATAGCTCTTTATGTCATATCATGCTATATAAAATATGTCTAAAGCAAAGGTATACAATCACCTAGTATTGCTTGATACTACTGCAGGAATTTATTAGTCAAATTAGTTGACTAAAAATCTAATTTATAATTAATTTTCATATAAATATTTTCACTTTCTCCTTTTACTTGAGTTCAGATATGACCTTAGATAGAGTGTAATGAAAAACGATAATTTCAGACTTTACTGCTTAAACTTGTCAGAGGTTTTCATATATATTTCTTTTTAAGACTTGGCTTAAGACTTTTGCTCCATTTTGCAACAATTTAGTATGGCTGAGTCCCAATCAGATATATTTTAAATCATATTTTTCTGAAATAATTTGACCCCTTAGCATCTGAAATTCTATCCTCTTTTGTTTCTGGCTGATTATTCCAAGGTCCCTGGGACACCTTTGTCTCAGGCTCACCCCATGACTGTTTTCACCAAAACTATAACAGGGAACTCTCTCTTTTCTTTTTACATTCCCACATCTTTGCCTAAAGTCCTAAAATGAGTCACTTCTCTGGAATGTGTTTTGCATCAACCCTAATCCATTTGGCAACAGATTAAGTGTGCAGAGCTTTTTTACATGAGCTCAGTGCTGAAGAACCAAGTGGTGGCTACAGATACCTTGATCCTCTTTTTTTTTTTTTTTATCTTTTTTTGTGTGTTGGTAGTTCACACTGGACTTCAGAAGTCCCATTTCTCAATGTAACCCAATCTCTAAGTGTTTATCTCTGTTATCTCTGTTGGGTATTCTGCCTCTGATCTTACTGCTGCCTTCTCTACCACCCAAGTCTTCAACAAGGAGAAAGTTTCTGTATCAGACTCAACTCGACCTTTATATGTTAGGTTTTGTTTGTTGTATTTTTTAATGCTATTCTTCTTGAAAGCAAACATTAACATCTTGCGCATGCTAGGTAAACAGTCCATTGCTATGCATGCCACACTCTTTATGCTTCCAAACCAGCTTGAAAAGGCATTCTGGTAAAAGACAACAAGGGAAAGAGTGAGATCCCACAGACAGAACTGTGGGTGAAAACTGACATCTGAATTAGAGAGGGGGTCATGGAAGGGAAAAAAAACGATTAAATAGAAGATAAGTCTTTCTCACAGATTTTGAATTCTCAGGCTGTTTACTTCATTTGTCCCGTATGTATCTTCCATTTGTACTATGCAGAATTTTATTAAATTTTGTTATCTAAACATTAGGGGTTTACTCCCAGTACCACAATATAAAAATTAAAGAATTTCACATAAAACCTAAGCTTCAAGTTTCCTCTGAAAAAATCAAGTATCTGGTGGGATGTCAGATATGATCATTGGAGTCTGTAGAATGCAAATGCTTTATTTCATAAGGGAGGAAGATCTTTGGGGATAGGTGTTGGAGGTATGAAGTTTGGAGGTGTGTATTGATATCTTAGTGAAACTGTAGAATAAACAGATATAAAAGGATTCTCCCAACCCTGAATGAGATAATTATACTACCCCTTTAAGGCTCATAGAACAAATAAGGAATGGAAGGAATGTAAGTGCTGGAAAATAGGAAGAAAGGTTATACAATGCTATCATCTAGATGCGACATAGCCTCTGTATTCATGAACTCACAGCAGCTATGGTTTCTTGCATCAAGTGTACACAAGACAGACGCTGTCAAGC